TGAGCAGAGCTCTAGGAGAGAACTGCAGAGGAGTAATTTCATGAAAAGTTAACTACTACTAAAGACAGAAAGTGCTTATGTTGATTCCAGTGCTACTAAAAGAGAAAGTATATTCTAAAGCCCTCCAGTAAGTAAAATGAATAATAATGATGTTTTAAAAGGGATACTTTAGTAAGCATGGATACATCACCAGCTAAGAATGGCTTTCCAAAGACAAAGGCAATCTCAACTCCATGATCTGCTTTTACAAACTCTGGTACAACACCTGCAGCTGAACTTGGTCGATGTTGAAATTCATAAAAGTAGACTGGGTTGCCAGCATCTAATAGAAAATACGTGGAAGAGTGTTAGTTTGAAAGCTGAAAATACCTGCCACCAAAGAAGATAAACTTCCATTACAAGCTATTTGATAAAATGAAAACGCTATCATTTCTTTGGATAATGAAGTCTGATGCATACTGTCCACAAACACAGGCCAGGATGGAATTCTATATTTCTTCTAATAGATGCTGAATTAGAGGCTTACCTCTATGGTATCTAGCCACTTCAATGGCTGAAAGAGCAAATGAAAGGTCTCCTAGTGCCTCAAGAAGGCCATCTCGCACCTGAGTACGATTTTCTGCATTCCCTATGTATTCATTGTATACTGGATCAACAAATTCAGAAGTATCACACTGAAATGAACAATAAAAATACTTCTTATTATGATGATGAATATTCTAAAGAGTAACAGCTCTAATTGAGTGTGCTGTGCCATCTGCATGTCCCTAGCTAAACCCCAGAGAAAATGCTCAACTGTGTCAGAGTGTGGGTCAGAGCTCAGAATTGGGAGTTACACAGCTACCAGGTATAGATATTCTCAGGGAAAAGAGGTTTGCAAGACCTAAAGATCAAACATCTTTAGATAAACATCAGTCAGTGATGCTGATAAATGGATATGGTAGTCTGTTTTCCTTTCTGTAGAAGTAACCCTCGTAAGAGAAAAGAAATCCTGTTGGATTGCATAAAATTCATTTATTGTTTTAGATGGCCATAATTTACTCCCTTTCAGAACAAGCCTGGGCTCTGCCTTTCCAAGTTCACGATGGAAGTCTGTGACACTGAATGATCCGTTGTGAGTACTGGCCACGTTTATAAAGTTGTTAATTCTTACCTATTAATCTGCATTTTTCTGCTTAGTAGTTTCAGGAGAACACAAAGGAACCAGAAAGCTAAGAGGTTTTTAAAGTACAGGGAAGCAAAACCTTAACAAACCTGAACATAGGTGTGTCAGCGCCATTTTAAACATCTCAGGTTATCCTTTCTAGTCTCCAGCTACTGCTTCAGAAGGGTGTGTTCTATAGGTTTTGTGTCATACCTGCCTGTACTATGCATGTCTTGGGTAACCTAGGGTGTCTAAAATGTCACAGGAGACTAGGCACCTGAATAACCCCTGGATTTCCACTAACTCCTTTTTAAAAAGAGGGCCATTTAGGATGGAAATTTAGAGTGTATTTTCAATTGCTAGTGGCAACAGGAATACACCACATCTGCTGCCCATTACTGCCCCATGGTAGGAAGCTGTCAACAGAACAAAGTTTGCCTCTAAAATATACCCCTCCAGGAGTACAAGCATAGAAGCAGACCAGTGAAGAAGCAGCACTGACTTGTTCTGAAAATGGTCTCTTACCTTAAATAAGGTTGCTAAATTGCTCTGTAATATTTGACGTGCAAAATCTTCATCCAGACCATCTGTGTAATTAGGAAATTTCATTATCTGCATGATACAGAGAATCATTTTTATTTGAAAATCTTATATTAACAAAATGAAATATAAATAACAACATTATGAATCTCTTACCATAGGAAGAATCCATCCAAATTCATAGTTATTTACTCCTATTATATATGGGACTGCATTGATCATTTTTTCAGATAGTAATTGCTTGGGACTCTTTGGAAAAAATACACCATCTACAGATGCACTGAAGAACATGGAAGGCTGGAGAAAGAAAAAAAAAACAACCAAAACCCAAAAGCTTCATTAATACATGAATTTTGCTTCCTGAAAAAATTTTCAGATTTTTACTGCAGTTCCAAAGCAAAACAAATTAAGTGCCAAGTGAAAATGTATGATGTAATAGTATTTGAGCCATCTCTGAATTTTTTCTGACAGATTTTCTGCACTGGGTATAAGATTGTGTGAAGATTAGCATTTTATTTTTAACATTTGTGAAACATAGGCAATGATGTCCAATTTACATCTCTTCTTAGTTCAGTCCTGTTGCAGATGTGTGGAGCAGTGGGAGAAAAAACAGCTTCTGTGTTGAAACTGCAAAGGAACATGGAATCCAGCATTGTGGCAAGAAATTTTAAGTAGGACATAATACAGTGTATTAATTAATTTTCAGGTTCTCCAGGAGAAACTGTAACATTTCCTGCACTCTTTTCCTTCCCCTGGTAGAGCATGACAGCAAAACAGAAGTAGCTCAAAGTCCATGCAGAATGAATGGGAAGTAACCCGTTCCCATTTTCCAGGTGAGGTATAGCATAGCTGCAGTGTTGTCAAATCCTCAAAAGCTCGGGAAAGTCAGGTGTTACATTCACTTCAAGTTCTCCTAATATTACAATGTACAAATAGCATACTTTGTTATGATAAAATTTGAAAATTTGAAATGTCATTTAAATGCAGGAAGTATAATTTCACCTACCAATTTTAGTGCTATCTGTACTATCTCGTCTTCTGTTTTTTCTCTTAAGCATTCGACTATTGCAGCTGAACTGGATTTTTCACAGCCAGAGGCAGTAGCAATTACCTGCAATCGATAAAAACAAACACTCACTTTTTCATACACTTCCCATAGAAGGCTTTAAGTGCCACCGAGCCTGAGAGTCCAGCAGGAGGGAGTCTAAACTGCACAAGGATCACTGAAACCAGACATGTTCCAGCTGCAGAGGCAGAGAATAGGAAGCCTTCATAACCCTTCACACTGTGGGCTGAGCAGAAGGACAAAACATACGCCTCCAAAATATTTTGGTACAGAAATAGACCAAGATAGTAATTCTGATAAGTAACATGCTGTGCTGAGAAAGCAGGATGGCATAAAGGAGTTAGAGTGATGCACGGTCAGAACACAACCATGTAGATGGTAACAAACAGCACATTATACCATTCTTGATTATGTCTTTTTGGGTGGAGTAACAGCTGTCATTAGAGAGGCAGAGCTCATTATAATGTTGTCTCTTTTATATCCCAGATTATCAAATCTAGGTTCCTGGAAGTTGTTTCTTGTAGTTAAAAAAAAAAATAGTTGAGTTGAAGTCAGCTCTTCTTTTCACATATAAACACAGCGAATAAAGTCTTTATTTGCACACAACAGTCATCAAACAGGAAGGGAAGAGAAGAGTATTCAGAATCTGGTGCCATTTTCCACCCAGAAATTATAGCTCAACTTTTCTTGAAGACAGTACGTGTTATAGTATTCCATTTCAGGCTTCTCCCCTGCCTTCCCTCATTGCTTCCTTAGTCTTTTGCTTTCACTCAGACGCCTGTGGATATTTGGGTATTTGAAAAGCAAAGCTTCATTAAACATGTATTATTTGCAAACAGAAATACTGTCTTTAATGACTGTGATTGTAGTTTCATAAGTAACAGATCTGTTTCTGTATTTTGGAATAAACAATTTAAGATATGCAAAACTATCTGGAAAAATAATTAAAATTACCACAAAATACCCACATGCGCTTCCTCCTCAGGCTTGTCAGTGAACAAAAGCCTGACTGCAGTACCACTCTCTGAAATGGCCTTATGGAACAAGCCCTTTGCCATGGGAGATAAGACCTGTAAAAAAACCGAGAACAAGCATGACAAGCATTATGTTCTGACCACTGCCTTTGAATTTCAGTTTCAGGAATTGCCATTTAAAACATTTTGAAAGCAAATGTCATAAAGCTGTTATTCTGTAGCCTCTGATTGTACTTCAACTATGCAAAGGGCTTTGTCAGCACTATCAGGGATAAGGAGTTCATGCCTGCCTTTTCCCCTCTTATAGCACCTTGCTTCTAAGACTTCATGGAACTACACCGCAAGCCAGATACGGATCAAATATAACTGTGTCCAAGATAGCCTGGCTGTGCTGCAAAGGGGAATACAGAACTATTGGCCAGAGGGCAGGAGCCTAGGAAACAGGAATTTTTGTCACTTGTGTCACTGAACCCTGGTTTTACTGTGTGGTCTGTACCAAATTGTGAGAGACGGGAGAAGAAGAACCTCTTAGCCAATGTTCTCAGTGTTGATGTAAAAATTTTACGTAATCACTGTGTCACAAAATGCACGTCTAGTTCAGCTGTCATTCGCCTCGGTTACTTCACACAAGTGACTGTCAAAGCAAACAGGAAATGGGCAATACACCCTCTTAAAGGACTTTTCTCAGAAAACTAAATTTAGGGGGTTTTGACACTGCAAAAAACCCCTCAGAATTTAATTTAGTAGATGAGGAATTACATTTGGGGTCTGAACTACAAGATTTGGGTATGAAAAGAACATTTTTATCAATCGGAAGCGATATTGTATTGTTGTGGTATTATAGACCAAGGTGATGTGTCATTTACTATAAAAACATCCCTTTTCTCTCGCTGACTTTTCGTGCAGGTACTAAAAATGAACATGGATGGTGGGTTTTTTTCCCTAAGTAATTAAAATTCAGTATTACTGTGAACTTACATGAGCAGAAACGCTGATTCCTCCTGCAGATTCTCCAGCTATAGTGACGGATCCTGGATCTCCTCCAAAATGTATGATATTTTCCTGAATCCACTGAAGAGCTGCTACTTGATCTAAATACCCCCAGTTACCTCGGGCGTGCTTATCACCAGTGCTGCAGAGAAAGAATAGATTTGTTTGAGTGCTCAATGCAGAAAAAAGGCAGAGAAAAATACAATCTGTGTTATAAGAAATCAGCTGCCATTCCCTACACAGAGCTTCTCTACACAACTGAAAAATAAATGAAAAATGAAAATGTGGAGATCAGAGTAGCAATCAAACAAGAACAGACTTGGAAGCTGACTTGGGACTTGTAAATTGCTCCCAACTGTTGCATATGTAATTAAGAAATGTACAGTTTTTTACTTAAGCAAGTATTCTGCACATCTTTTCACAAAGGCTTTGCACACATAATTTTCGAAGTCAGTTAGCAAAAACTGAGATAAAATGTCTTACCTAAGATATCCGACAATACCTAATCTGTACTGAATTGTTACAACCACTACACGGTCAAAGGCTGCTAATGCTGAACCATCATATGATGAAGCTGCTCCAAAAGCTAATCCACCTCCATGGATCCATACAAAGACCTGGAAAGACAAAACCAGAAACAACCCAGCACAGATAAGAGCCCACAGTGATAAAAACTAAGTATAAACCAAAATATAATATTTTGTGCTGTTTCACTCCTGACTTTTTCAGATTACATTTCACAAATGGTAGAGATCTGTCAACTATCAGGCCTGCAGTTTTACAAAATGGCATTGATTTTATTAGATGTTTACACTATACCAGTGCCCCGTGACTTTCCACGGATTATTTAGAGGAAATCAGACATTACCTAGCTAAAATGTCAATAAAATTTTATTTGTAAAATAGATTTTGTGTCTCTTAAACCTCAGCAAATATTTACTGGGCAAAGCCTGTAACTTGATCACCATTACAAAACTGCACCTGTGAGTCTGCATATAGCAGAGACTGCAGGTTTTGTAATGATTTGGGGTTGTTCAGCCTGGAGAAGAGAAGGCTCTGGGGAGACCTTAGAGCGGCCTTCCAGTGCTGAAAGGGGGCCTACAGGAGAGATGGGGAGGGACTCTTTACCAGGGAGGGTAGTGCTAGGACAAGGGGTAACGGTTTCAAACTGAAAGTGGGTAGATTTAGATTAGGTGTTAGGAAGAAATCCTTCACTGTGAGTGAGGGTGGTGAGGCACTGGCACAGGCTGCCCAGAGAAGCTGTGGCTGCCCCCTCCCTGGCAGTGTTCAAGGCCAGGCTGGATGGGGCTTGGAGCAACCTGGTCTAGTGGAAGGTGTCCCTGCCCATGGCTGGGGGGTGGAACGAGATGATCTTCAAGGCCCTTTCCAACCCAAACCATTCTGTGATCCTATGATTTTGCTTACAGGCAGTTTCTCCTCGTTTTCTGTAGAAATGGGTGTATACACGTTTAGGTACAAGCAATCTTCAGACACTTGGAGAAGAACTTTTTCTTTTCTATTAGTAATAATATCTGAAAAAACCTGTCCTTGTACTTTATCCTGTAGACACCTGAATAAATGAAAAAATAATAAGCAACAGAAATAACTAAAACCTAGAAGCTATGAAGTGTAGCTTTTTTGTACTTCTACAACAAAGTGCAAACCAGAAACCAATCTCTAGTACATTTCTAGATTGTTTGCAATAGAAAACATAAAATATTTTTTTCACTTCTAATACATTTTCTTCCTTTGACCTGGCATTAAGGAGATCTATAAAAAGGAGCCACAGTCTACAGCAGTACACAGTGATGTGCAGATAAAATTTTCCATGTTTCAAAATATCACAGAAACATACCTGCAAATACATATGGCTATAAATTACTTCAAGGAAAATACAAATTAATTATTTTACCTTTTCAATAGCTTTTTACATTGTAATGGTAGGTATTAGGCTCGAGGCACTAAACAAGGGCAGTAAGACGTTTACAATATAGACTAGAATTGATCTGCATTTCTTATATGTCCTGTTAAGCATGTGACTCATTTGGCATTTTTTTTCTTCTAATATTTTATTCCAGCATTTCCTCAGGTTCTTTCTGTTTCTGCTCCGAAGCTACACAGGTTATAAACATTGCTAAGTAATGGCCAAATGCTCCCAAAACAGAACATTATTGGCAAAATGCTGCTCCGTATTAGTTCATCACTAATGCACATTAGATAACAGATTTTAATAAAAAGAGCATCTTATAAAGGTGCCTTTAGAAATGCATTCATTATAACAGTTGCAGGTGGTAACAAGATGGCACAATGGAATTTGTCTTTGTGGCTTTTGATTGCCCTGTACATCAGTGTCCTGGAATTGCATGTAATATATAATTATTAAAAATATCAATTGTTTTGTCATTGTCTTACATTGGTGGGTAGGAAGTGGCATCTCTGACACCTTTCCATGGCTCAGGTGGCTGGGGTTCAGAAAACCTCAATGGTCCAACTGGAGGCTTAGCAAAAGGAAGTCCCAAAAAGACATTTACACTCCTCTTAGCTGCATCTACTTTGAATTGGTACCCTCGGACCCTCCCATATTTGGTCATCACTTCTGGTTGCTCTGCTTTTTGCCCTGGGGGATGTGAGCACAAAATCACATAATTGGTCTATTTGTAAGTAATTGCCAGATTTCTAAGAACTTGAGCTACTTAGATACACACCTTTGCTTTGTTGCCATCTGGGAGGGCTTAAACCATGGCAATAAGGCTTCCACAAACTCTAATCAGTATAGCTGACGTTATTTCAGCCTTAATTTTCATTGGTTTGCATGTATAATCTCCTTTAAGTATATCATATGTATTGTCTTACTGTACACACACATTCGTAACTGCATATAGATCCTAATCATTTTTGATCCAGGTGGTTAGATAAGAAGTCTAATAGATTGCTCTCATTAAGAAAAGGCATTTCCTTTTTAAGAAAAGACCTGTGAACACACAAAATATATTCAGACCTGCTATAGTACATACAGCTAAAAGAAGGTTCTAACATACCCAAAAATAGTCTAGCATAACATTTAGGTAAGATTAATTTTAAGATTGGTGTGAAGGTTCTCAACGCCATTACAGATGTGGTACAGTGCCCTGCTCTGCCTCACCAGACAAGATTTTGGGACAGGAATTTGGTTTCACTGTTTGCAAAAAAGGCAAATAAGACAAATGACAGAAAACAGATCACAAAAACAAATTAAGAACTATTTGCTATTCAGACTTAATTTCTATGCAGCAAGGTTGGCTGCCCAAGCCCTATGACAAAGCTGAAGTTCCCCTAGGTGAGCAAGCTGCACCTGTTTATTTCCTTGGCATGGAATGGGACAGCTCTGCATGGGGAGAACTCTCCATGAGTCGACAGATTCTGCGGGTCCTCCCTAGCGTGTGGCACCATGCTTGTCCTCTCCCGGCTCAGCTAGC